TACACACTGATATACACCTGAACATCAGCAGGAGAGGACTCTTTAAAGTAGAGACACTACATACTGATATACACCTGAACATCAGCAGGAGAGGACTCTTTAAAGTAGAGACACTACATACTGATATACACCTGAACATCAGCAGGAGAGGACTCTTTAAAGTAGAGACACTACATACTGATATACACCTGAACATCAGCAGGAGAGGACTCTTTAAAGTAGAGACACTACACACTGATATACACTTGAACATCAGCAGGAGAGGACTCTTTAAAGTAGAGACACTACATACTGATACACACCTGAACATCAGCAGGAGAGGACTCTTTAAAGTAGAGACACTACATACTGATATACACCTGAACATCAGCAGGAGAGGACTCTTTAAAGTAGAGACACATACTGATATACACCTGAACATCAGCAGGAGAGGACTCTTTAAAGTAGAGACACTACATACTGATATACACCTGATCATCAGCAGGAGAGGACTCTTTAAAGTAGAGACACTACATACTGATATACAGCTGAACATCAGCAGGAGAGGACTCTTTAAAGTAGAGACACTACATACTGATATACACCTGAACATCAGCAGGAGAGGACTCTTTAAAGTAGAGACACTACATACTGATATACGCCTGAACATCAGCAGGAGAGGACTCTTTAAAGTAGAGACACTACATACTGATATACACCTGAACATCAGCAGGAGAGGACTCTTTAAAGTAGAGACACTACATACTGATATACACCTGATCATCAGGAGGAGAGGACTCTTTAAAGTAGAGACACTACATACTGATATACACCTGAACATCAGGAGGAGAGGACTCTTTAAAGTAGAGACACTACATACTGATATACACCTGAACATCAGCAGGAGAGGACTCTTTAAAGTAGAGACACTACATACTGATATACACCTGAACATCAGCAGGAGAGGACTCTTTAAAGTAGAGACACTACATACTGATATACACCTGATCATCAGCAGGAGAGGACTCTTTAAAGTAGAGACACTACATACTGATATACACCTGAACATCAGCAGGAGAGGACTCTTTAAAGTAGAGACACTACATACTGATATACACCTGAACATCAGCAGGAGAGGACTCTTTAAAGTAGAGACACTACACACTGTTTTACCTCTAAGCTCCGGAATCCGTTCGTTTCAAGCACCAAAAAATGTACGGTCAAGAAGCAAGAAACCACATACGCCACGCTTACGTCGGAGGGAGAGATTAACCTGAGCTAACAGTTCAAGGCGAGTACGGCAAATACAAGTTGTAACAAGCAGTAGTGCTGAGCAAAGTGACTAGAACGCAACCACACACTAAAGTCAGGCAACACTCACCAGGCTTCGTGTGATTCTGTTTATTTGTAGCCTACCTTACTTTGACCATCCGTCCGCTGTCATTGATCATTGTGGAGACGTTTTGTTTTGTATTATAGCAGCTATCGGATGGAATCAATACATGGGCTGCACAGGTTGTCGTGTCCGACTATCACAAGTAGAATTATAATGAAAAATACGCCGGTAAAATGTGCCTGTAGAAAACGGCTTATGCCACAATAGGATAGCAATAGCAAGTAGTCAAGATATTCAGATTAGCTTCGGTTGCTATGCTAACATCACCCATTTTATACCAGAGAAACTTTCATAACAGCGTTGTGATGCCAAACAGATTCAGACTGACACACATTCACTTAAGGGGAACTGGGGATATTTATCAGCTGCTTGTGTGACAGTCGGACAGTGAATACTTTACAGCGGACGCTGCCGTGTGAGCTAACCGGGAGCTAACGGGAGAATAAACTCCTGTGGAAGAGCAGCACTGCAGCGGTCGGTAAATACATTAATAAACAATGAACCACTCTGGTCCAACGCACTTATTGTAAGTCGCTTTGGATAAAAGCGTCAGCTAAATGTAATGTAACCACGGCACTCTGGAGAAAAGTATAAGATTGGAGAAGTCGTTATTTAATTGAATCTGGCTTCGTATGATTAAAAAGCAACCCGATCATCGCCCCGACGCAGTCCCCCATTGTTGTAGTAGTGAGTGTCGTAACGCCGTTGGGGAGCAAATCAGCGACGTAAACTGTGACGTCATGACACAGTAGCGGCAGCACCAGTCTGGCTCTGGGCGGTGTGAACAAATAGGGGGCTGAAAATAAAAACCGGTTCCGAACCAGAAAAGCTCTAGCACGGAGCTAGAACGGGAATCGCGTTGGGGAAAGCCCTACAAGTAAGCTGTTTAACACGAATAACAACTTTTAAATGAATCAGCATTGACAGTAGAGATGTTATCAAAGATTTCATCAGATTTCTGCCTGCAGGATATATATTTGATAGTGATTTAGTTCATATTTTGGTATGTCCTATGTCTGAATATCCATAAATCAATGAGCTGATTTCAGATACTGTCTCTAAATTGGGTTTCATGTGTTATTTTGTCTTCTTTCCACCGTGTTGTTGTGTTTGCGGTGTGATTTCAGCGCCCGGGGCGAAAGGCGTAGTCTTGACAGATTGAGTTTCTGTCTTTAGAGAAGCAGAGAGCGGCAGAGATGGAGACGGATGAGGTGAGATGGAGCGATCGACGATCTTCCTGCCAGGTGAAACACGTCCGGGAGAGTCCCAAACACGCTCCAAGAGAAAATCCCGACAGTGTGTGAAGGTGTGTGTGTTTCCTGACAGACAGTGTGTTGTAACAGCGTCAATAACAACAAACACAGAACCATGCTGCTGCTGCTGCTGCTGGGAAGACGATAAAAGTGTGTATATAGTCACCACCAGAGATGCTAAAAGTACAACAAAAAAACTGAAATAATTACTTTAATTAAATGTATTATGTCAACAGATTCACAAATATTAGGTTCAAATTAATATTATTGCGTTCAACTAACCTAATAAAGTTATGTGAAATCTGTTGACATTTAATCTGATTCTGATACTGAGATAATATCTGAGTAGTACACATTATACAGGGTGATCATACTATGAATACTACCATACGATAGTACACATTATACACAGTATATGAACACACACTCATACACACAATAAGTACCTACTCAGCAGTGTGTGTTGTGAAAGTGAATCAAGAAATAAGTAACCAGTTTTAAATGTCTCTCTTGCACTTCAACCCTCGTCTGTTTGCTCCGCAGATCCCGAACAAACAAGTCCACTGCAAAGTTAGCTGTGTGTGTGTGTGTGTGTGTGTGTGTGTGTGGCTAGAATATGTTAGTGCTGGAATGTGTGTGTGCTGTATTCGTCAGTTTTTTACTGTCACCTGTGAGTGTTTTTCCCCGCAGTGCAGAGGCCGACAGGCTGCAGCATGTCTGATGACTCAGTGTGAATGTCCACACACACACACACACACACACACACACACACACACACACACACACACACACACACACACACACACACACACACACACACACACACACACACACACACACACACACACACACACACACACACACACACTTCTGAAATGTAAATGCTATCATTTAGCTTAGCATAGCATCGCCAGCTCTATCAACCTTTACCTGACAAGGAAACTGTAAAATAAGCTTTTGAATAAACTGTTATTAAGTTATAACACTTCAGGTGAGAAACTAACTATATAGATTACCTATCAATCAATCAATAGATTACCTATATGTAATTACTCTATCCCCAAAACGAATATTTCTAGGTATTAAAGCGATGTTTGGAGCTGCTGCTGTATGAGTGTCCAGTTATTTTTAGCATAAAAAAGATAAAATATAAACGGGTATAATTACCCGTTTATATTTATTTGTTATTGTTTGTTTCGTGTGCATGGTTTGTCATTCGTGTGCCAAAGATACATCCTGTTTCATCTCTAAATAACCACATGAGATTTACTATTTGCCAACCTAGTATTTCTAAGTCAAATGCAGAGCATTTTGGAAAGAATAACCCTGTACATGTATTTTAATTATTCCATTTTTATTAACATAGAGCCAGAGGTAACCAAATGATGTATAATTAACTCTTAATAATATGTTTACTGTTATTGGCAGAGTCTGACATGTTTGCTTATTTATGACACTTAAATGTTAATGTGCATAAAAATAGCTTAATTTCCGATAATATATCAGAACCTGCTGTAGACCCAATGACTCATGGTATATAATAACACTAATAATATTAACAGGGTTCCTGCAGGTTTCTCCAACTCAAATTTAAGACCTTTTTAAGATCACTTTGAACAGAATTTAAGACCTATTTCACGGCAAGAAAGTATGAAGGAAAATTGAAAGAAGAAATGCGTCCCATAATTACTTTCAAAGTAAATGTATTCCAATCAACATAAGAAAGATGACTGAACATAACGGCACACAGAACTGTGTTAGCCAACAACCAGAAAAAAGAACTGCCTAATCGTGAAGGTGTGTGTCTGTGTGACAAGAGCTATCTTCTGAGCACTGCTCCCTTGGCTTCAATCTTTCATCGTTGCTGTTGTAGGATTGGTATTTAGCATCCACAGCACCTCCGCTTTTAGGGTTGACCCAAACGTAGCCCAGAGGGAGAGGCCGCGTTAACAGAATATTTTCCGTCATTGTTTTTTTTTTATTAAGATAGACTGCTTTCAGATTTTTCCGTCAGTCATTTTGACAGATTAGACCAAACTCGGAACAGCGCCAAAGTTTCCCCGCAGCGAGGCTCCGGTGTTATGCCGTGTTTTCTATGCCCTCCAAAAAGGAAATGATATCGTGTCCAAACCGAACAAATCATTGAAATGTCTGGGAGTTTTTGCTTTACGCTGTTTATTCAAAAATATAATAATAATCCAGTAATTTATTTCTAATTATTCTATTTTTGTTGACAGAGGTAATAATCCTGTATAATTAACTTGTTATTGGTAAAGTCGGTCATTTAAATAATTATTCCTGACACTTCCCGTTTTGTGTCTCTAATTGGACTCTCACTCAGGAAACATTCAAAACAAAAAACAGAGACAGCGTTTTAAAATGTTAATGTGCATAAAAATAGCTTTATTTCCAATAATAAATCAGAACCTGCAGAAACCAATGATTCATTAGCACCTCCGCTCCATTGGTGATTCACATGTGGTGTTTGTGACATTAAGCAGCAGAACAAACGCTCTCCCAGAAAACAGACCGGGGCGCCATTACCAACAAAGAAAGGTATTTAATTACAGCGATAAAAACGGACACAGGGAGGTTGAATTTCTTTGTAACCAAACATAAAGTTCCTCCTCTGTTAGCTGAAACAAGTAGCAGATTATTCGTGTTTCTCGGGAGGTAAAAAGCCTTGAAAATGTTTCTCTAACTGCGTGGGAGCAACCTTGAATTTGCAAAAACATGTTGGCAAATGTATCTGGTTCCATTACGGCTGCAAACACATCTAGTAATGGCGCCGGTCTGACAACAGAGACGAGCACCAACCACACATCCTTCTACAAACAAAAACATAAATACAAAAACGTCTAAAAAGATAAAAGATAGAAACTCTTATAAAATAAAAAGCTTCAAAACTATTTGCCTCTGAAAAAATCTCAAACTAGTGTATATACATTTTTTAAATCACATATACAACAGCTTAAAAAGGGGGAAACACCCCAACCTGAAAGAAGGCAACACAATAATTTGACAGTTAAATTAATAAAAAAACAAGTTGATCTACTGGATGAGTTAGTATTAAAAACATTCGACAGTAAATCACATGGAACTGCTGCGGGAAAAAAACAAACAATTTGGCATTTAAATATTTGGTAGATATTTTTGTAGCTAAGTACCAACTTTTTAAAACATTTTTTTATCTATATACAAATCCTTGGTAGATCAGGCTGTGTGCTGCTGTCTTCAGCTAAAGAAATGTGAGCGTACCGGTTCACCCAATAATTACAATATATAAAACTAACAAACTGTCAGCATAGCTTATTGAGGAAGCATCAAAACAGAAAGTACCAAAACTACCAGTTTCTCCGAGCATAAAATGTCTTTTCACTGGACGACAATTAACGTTTTAACAAGTTATGGATAATAAGCATGAAGCTAGAGGAATGTTTGCCATGTTGGGATTTTCATTTCAAATGTCAAGCTACAGCCAGCGGCCGATTAGCTTAGCACAAAGACTTGAAACGGAGGGAAACTGCTAGCATGGGTGTCGAAAGAGTAACAAAATCCACCCAATAGCTACATTTAAAGTCACTAAATAACAAGATTTATCAAAAACAGAAGTGTAAAAGCGATAATTCTGCATTTTAAACGGATCATGGACCAATGCATTTATTTACTGGAAGCTTTCTGATGTAGTTTAGTACTTTAACCTTCTGTAAAAATGCTGATTTTCTTTTTTCAGAATGGTTTTTACATGTTTAACAAACAAGACAGTCTTTTGACGTTATTACAACCAGGTAACTACATTTGGAAACCTACCATATCAAGTATTTTTCTCCTATATAATAAGGACAAACCTGATAATCCGTGTGATACAATTGGCCCAAAATTCATTGGATATAACGATCTATTGTCAGCGTGCAGTAACTTTAACTCAATGTTTTGAGATATTTGAACGCTAGCAGTTTCCCACCGTTTCCAGTCATTATGCTAAGCTAAGCTAAACTAACCAAATCGCAGATAGGGCCCAAAATGAAACTATTTATTTGAGCTTCACTGTGAACATGGGTCAGCAGCTTCAGTCGGCATGTGACTCAGCTCTGTGTGTGAGTGTGTACATGTGTGAGGAATGTAGGTGTGTCACCCTGTAGGAGCGTGTCCAGTCAAGTTCACCATAATGATAGAAAAACAAACCCAGCGGTTATTATTTTAGTGGTAAAAAAAAAAGAAGTACCGTGTGTTTGTTTTGCTTACTTGCGAGGACCAATGTTTGGGCAACAAGTCATGGTCCTCCCAAATGGAGGAAAACAAGAATGTGTGTGTGATACAGTAATTGCACATTCCTTTTCCTGGATTAGTTTAGCTTTACTTATAAGGCGCTACGTGCCAGACAGATGGGATTTTCCCAACATGAGGCAATACTAAACATGCCAGAAGGTTTAAATAGAAAAATAAAGACTATTTTTTAGGTTGTTTTAAAGATCTAAAAACACAACAGCAAGTTGTTTAGTGAGTTGTGCAAAAATATTTCTTGACCCTGGTTTGACTGTCTCTCCTCTCGCTGTAATTGGAGGTTAAAAAAAACATTATTGGATGACATAAATTAAACTACATATCTTCTTAAAAGAAAAAAGAAGGAATTTGAACGACATGAGCTCAATTCTTTCCCATCATGACGGGATCTTTAATAGAAAACAAAAAAGACATTTCTGAAATCTCTCTGCATTACAAGGAGTTCTTTAAAAATAAAAAATAAAAAGTTCACATAAAAAAAAAAAAATCACATGCTACAGTAATACGTGAGACGCTGCAGTCCAGGAAGAGTCATAACGGAGAAGGGGGGAAATAAATAACCGGACTGTTAATGTGTACCGTACGGAGACAGAGAATCATTGCACAGTTTTAGTGTTTTAACGGGAAGAAGGGAGGGTTTGGAGGACGTTTTACCTCCTGACATGGGGACAAAATCATAAAAAACAAGACGTGATGAAATGATCACCGTGTACCGCGGCTGAAATCGTCCAATCCTGTCGCTCCTTTTTCTCCGGGACGAGAGGACCAAAACAAAGCCTCTGATTGGTTAAGAGAGCAGCACCAATATTAGCTAACGTCAGGGAGGAGGAGTCAGTCAATCGATTGAGTTTTCGGGGCTTCTCTCCTGATTCGAGGCACTGTGTGTGTGTGTGTGTGTGTGTGTGTGTGTGTGTGTGTGTGTGTGTGTGTGTGTGTGTGTGGAGGTCAGGGTTTATGCGTAGATCTCTGTGGTCGGGGCTTTCTTGTAGATGGGTTTCTTCCCCAGTTCGTAGCTGCCCTCGTCCTTCTTTTTCATGCGGTAGATGAGGAGGAGGATGAGGAGGACGGCGAACATCAGACCAACGGCACCGCCCGCAATCAAAGCTGCAAGAGAAGAAGAAGGACGTTAGAGGAAGAAGAAGAATGCAAAATCTTAAGAACGATTAGGGTAAAATATATAATGACCGATTTTGCAATTCTGATACGATACATTTCCATTTGAAATAGATTTTTGAGCAAGACAAACGTTAAATATTAATATTATTTAATATAGGTAAAGAATCAGCTGAGAATACCAATCATTGCATCCCTGCTATTTCTTTCATTAGATTTTATCCAACTATATCCTTAATTTAGTGCCGACTCCAAATATTAAGTTACGTGCATTAGCAATTCCTACAAGCTGAGGAAATGATATCATGGTTTGTTTTCTGGAAGAATTCCTCTCTTCTTGATAGGGTAGTTTTAAAATCATGGATGTAAATATAGAACAGGATATCGTAGAAAACAAAAACACATTTTCAAGGTCTTTTGAGAAAGGCTTTTTTTAGCCTCAACAGCCCGTTTGGTTTGAGACGTCGTCAAAAATACAAAATACTTTAACGACAAACCTCCACGACATCTATCTTTCTGTGAGTGTGTTCCTGAGCGAGTACCGACCTGCGAGGACCTCGGTCTTGTTGAAGATGCTGTCCTCGCTGGCGTGGGCCATCAGGACGTTGGACGGTAACTCCTCTTCGGTCTTGACCTCGTTTCCCAGCAGCAGGATCTCGTTAGTGTCCCGCACGATGTTCACCTCGTTGACCGTCGGCCGCTCCACCTCGGGGATCTTGTTGTCGTTCACATCGGGCTGAAAGATGCAGAGAAAGGATTACAAAAAATACAAAAACAAACAAAGAAGCTCCAGGAGCAACACACGGCTTTTGAAATCGTCCATAATATTTTGATTTCATTTACATTTTTCATTTGTTCCGTTCATAGATGAGAGCAACACCTACGTCACTTCCGGGCGAAAATGACGGCCCCGCCCACTTTTGGAAAACAACACAGTCATTTGAACGGCGGTCGATACAAATTCTGAAGTTTTTGCCAATCCGATCAGAAATGTAAGAACACCGTGGATGTTTGGATCTTCAAAGAGCTCGGTTACGATGGCCGACAGGCAAACAATTACATTCAATCATTTGAAATCGACGATCGGGCTCGATATATGGTTACATTAAAATCAGTAGGCGAGGCCGTAATTTCGGCAGCTGTTACTCTCATGAGCGAGGCGGAAAATAATAGTTTTAAAAGAAGTCATTTTTTCCCTCAGATTTGGACTTTTTTTTCTCAAAATGTTGACTTTTCCCACTCGACAGATAACGGAAAGAAACAAAACAATAAAACAACAACATCACATGTACAAGGAAAAGGAAAAGTGCCAGAAAATATCATAACAAAGGCAGAATTACAAGTATATGGAATAATCCATATCAGAAATGGAATTCAATCCAGCATTTTACATTTTTAGCTTAAATAAATGGCCGAATATTGAAATGTCTCACCTTAACTGACGGCTTGGACTCTCTTCCAGGTGTGGCTGTTGTTGCTGTGGAGAGAAAGCAGATCATTTCATTAATATCACTAGTTTAACAGCTAACTAAAGACCCACTGTTTTCATTTTGATTATAATATACTTTAGCTCAGTCCTTATTTTATATTGAAGTACTTTGTTTATAGAACTTTTTTTACAAGCTAAAGGTTCACAAAGTTTGATTGATATAAAGAAGAAAGGCTCATAAAGACAATAAAAAAAAAATCGTACATTAGTTTAAATGGATAGTAAAAGTATTTGAAGGGACTCGCCTCCGTCACCAGACCCGGAGAACTCGTACTCGTCTTCGTTCTCTTCTACCTCGTCTTCATCATCGTAATATTCCTCATCATCATAATCAACATTTTCGCCATCGTTGACGCCATATTCCTCATCATCGTCGTCGTCTTCGTTGTCCGTGAATCCGAAGTCCGATCCGTTGGGCGAATCTCCCGAAGACTCGGTGTGCGTCGACATGGCCGCCATCTGCGTCGTCTTCATGGGCATCCAGGTCTCCGTCTCCCTCACCTGCTGGCAGAACACCGTCACTATACCATCCCATAATATCGTATATATACAGGTGGTGGGAAGTAGTGGAGTACAAATACTTCGTTAAAGTACATTGTTCTGGTATCAGTACTTTACTCCACTACTTATTTTTCTGACGACTTTTTACTTTGACTTCTTACATGTTGAACACAAATACCTGTACTTTCTACTTCTTACATGTGAACTCAATACCTGTACTTACTACTTCTTACATGTTGAACTCAAATACTGTACTTTCTACTTCTACATGTTGAACTCAATACCTGTACTTTCTACTTCTTACATGTTGAACTCAAATACCTGTACTTTCTACTTCTTACATGTTGAACTCAAATACCTGTACTTTTACTTCTTACATGTTGAACCTCAAATACCTGTACTTCTTACATGTTGAACTCAAATACCTTACTTTCTACGTCTGACATGTTGAACCAAATACCTGTACTTTCTACTTCTTACATGTTGAACTCAAATACCTGTACTTTCTACTTCTTACATGTTGAACTCAAATACCTGTACTTTCTACTTCTTACATGTTGAACTCAAATACCTGTAACTTTCTACTTCTTACATGTTGAAGCTACAAATACCTGTACTTTCTACTTCTTACATGTTGAACATCCAAGACCTGTACTTTCTACTTCTTACATGTTGAACTACAAATACCTGTACTTTCTACTTCTTACATGTTGAACTCAAATACCTGTACTTTCTACTTCTTACATGTTGAACTCCAAATACCTGTACTTCTACTTCTCACATGTTGAACATCAAATACCTGTACTTTCTACTTCTTACATGTTGAAACTCAAATACCTGTACTTTCTACTCTTACATTACAATACCTGTACTTTTACTTCTTCTCATGTTGAACTCAAATACCTGTACTTTCTACTTCTCTCATGTTGAACTCAAATACCTGTACTTTCTACTTCTTACATGTTGAACCCAAATACCTGTACTTTCTATTCTCATGTTGAACTCAAATACCTGTACTTTCTACTTCTTACATGTTGAACTCAAATACCTGTACTTTCTACTTCTTACATGTTGAACTCAAATACCTGTACTTTCTACTTCTTACATGTTGAACTCAAATACCTGTACTTTCTACTTCTTACATGTTGAATACAAATACCTGTACTTTCTACTTCTTACATGTTGAACACAAATACCTGTACTTTTACTTCTTACATGTTGAACTCAAATACCTGTACTTTCTACTTCTTACATGTTGAACACAAATACCTGTACTTTCTACTTCTTACATGTTGAACTCAAATACCTGTACTTTCTACTTCTTACATGTTGAACTCAAATACCTGTACTTTCTACTTCTACATGTTGAACCAAATACCTGTACTTTCTACTTCTTACATGTTGAACTCAAATACCTGTACTTTCTACTTCTCTCATGTTGAACTCAAATACCTGTACTTTCTACTTACATGTTGAACCAAATACCTGTACTTTCTACTTCTTACATGTTGAACTCAAATACCTGTACTTTCTACTTCTTACAGTTGAACTCAAATACCTGACTTTCTACTTCTACATGTTGAACTCAAATACCTGTACTTTCTACTTCTTACATGTTGAACTCAAATACCTGTACTTTCTACTTCTTACATGTTGAACAAATACCTGTACTTTCTACTTCTTACATGTTGAACTCAAATACCTGTACTTTCTACTTCTTACATGTTGAAACAAATACCTGTACTTTCTACTTTTACATGTTGAACTCAAATACCTGTACTTTCTACTTCTTACATGTTGAACTCAAATACCTGTACTTTCTACTTCTTACATGTTGAACTCAAATACCTGTACTTTCTAC